TCCTAGCGGATTTAGACCCCCCAGTCCAAATCCGCTAGCGGATATGGACCCCCTCCGCAGATTTGGACCCCCCTACAGAACTGAGTGAAAACATCATCCTTAATGTTCTCGTAGAAATAGATAATACTTTACGTTTCAGTGCGTACTAATGTATGTTTTTAATTTAAAATATGCATGCGTATCGCCAATGCATACGAACAGGCAGCTGGAAATGACCCGTCGGATGTTTCTTTTGACCAAGGGAAAATGCGCAAGCATTTAGCTCAATGTTCGGAGAGAGGTTGTTTTGAACCTTTTCCGCGATAGTCGAACACTGCTAGATTCAGTAAGAGACAAACTTGTGACACTAATTTATTTTGCTGTTGTTCAATTCCCAAGTGTTGGGACGACATGGTACCGTGCGAGCTTGTTATTTCAGATCCCTTTACAGTTAATAATCGTTAAAATTAGAAAATAAGATTGTGTTCGATGTTATAGTCTCCACTTTTGTTAAGACGTAGACATTAATGTTGATTTGCATCTGAAAATAAGCTGAGAGTTCCAATAATTCAGAGTAGAAACATGTCATCTTATCATAGGCTTTACGAACGACTTGTAGTAGGAATGGTTACTTCGTTCTTGTTCAGAAACTGTTTAATGTCATTTAATTAGAAAATCAGACTGAGTTATTTTTGTGACTGGACGCAATAGTCTCCACTATAGTTATGATGTTTCGTATCAATGTTGATTTACATCAGGAGAAGCAAAGATTTATTGTTACAGTTTCGATAGTTCGAATGCAGTAGTTCTAATAAATGCGACAGGATTGGAGCGAAATGGCTGTTTTTCTTTACCCTTATTGAGGAATGTTGTGTTGTAATTGAAAAGAACATCGACAAAAAGCTTGCAAATAGAATTAGTTATCAAATATGATAAAATCGACGCTTAAAAGAAAAGTTTGGTAGGGGGATCCAAATCTGCGAAGAGGGGTCCAAATCCGCTGTGACACCGGCTTTAAGGGTGCCCTTTCCGGTGAGATGTCTAAAAAGCACCTCGTGGAAGGTAGCGACCGATCAAATATTTGCTTCAATCTCATCTGCAATTTCCACATAAATCGGAAATGTCTCGTAATTGCGGAAGTTCTGGGTGAATTTCAGGGAACGCGGTTCGATCAGCTTTAGACACCAGTTGTTTGTTTGCTTGATATGGAGGGCGCCCTCTGGGTTTTTTCACACAAGAGCAGTCATGTTCACGATGAGATGTCCACATAATGGGTTGTTTGAAGTTGAAATAATTTTTTGTCCAACTGAGTTTTCTCGGACTTGATAAAGTATTCTTTTCCTTACCGAGAGGACCCATTTGGGATAAATTTCTTCAAAACCCTGGTCGATATCATTTTGAATTGAACAGAAAGCTCATTTTTGAATAAGCTTTTGTCAGACTGTCTTACTTGAAAGTCCTTTGTCATGAAGTCGACAGACTGTTCTCAAGAAGGAGATATGATAATCCATAAGCTGAGACAAAAAACAAAATGACCTTTAGGAATACTGAGAAAATGACTAGCTGGTAAACGCCATGACGTCATGACACCGAAGGACAACATGCGACAACAAGAACAGCGCACGTGAATACGTTTCTCGGCGAAAACAAAGCGGATCAATTAACTGCTGAAGGAAAAGGACGCACTGAAGCGATTGTTGGAATTCAAGCGAACTTTGTTTTCACATAAAGAAATGCTGAAGGACAATGCCACGAGAAGCGTGACCGAATAACATTGAAAATTAAAAATCGGCAGGGCCATGACTGTGCGACGGAAGTGTCAAGTCAGGGTAATAAAGATGGCAGCTACAAGATCAGCTATTTCCTCAAAGATAGTGAAAGGTAAGAGACAGTAGTGAAAGTGAGCGAAGAACAAGCTCGAGGCAGTCCCTTTCTGACTCTAGTTAAACCCAGACAGTTCTGTCCTGTTTTATCTTTTGGCCAACGAGGCTCGTCTGCTTGAATGTTAAACAAACCCTGGGGAGCGGCAGTGAATGAACGCGATGAAATCGCAGTGACTGATACTGGTAACCACTGGGTTCAGGTATTCAGTAGAAACGGTGATAAACAGGGAAAACTCACTCGTCCCAGAGGAGAAGCATTTGATAAGAATAATAACATTATAGTGGTGGATACTCTTAACAGCCTTGTTTAACTGTTCAGTGAGCAGGGTGAGTACCTGAGCCAGTTTGGTAGTAAAGGAAATCTTGATCACCAGCTGGATTATCCTCATGGTATATCTGTAGATAATAAAGGCAATATTATTGTTGCTGATAGGTATAACGAATCAATTAAGATCTTTTCTCCTGATGGTCATCACTCATGTAAATTCAGGGATGAGGGTTCTTTTACCTTCCCCTCTCACTACGTACAATATCACAAATATCTGGTAGTGTCAGATGCAAACGAACATTGTATCAAAGTGTTTGCTGGAAATGGTAATTTTCTTTACAAATTTGAAAATAAGGGGGAGGGGGATGGGGAGTTCATTAACCTTTGTCATTTGTCAGTTAACAAGGGGAACACCTGGTGGTTTATGAGACTTCAAACCACAGAGTTCTGGTATTTGAGCCGAGTGGAAAATTTGTAACAAAATTTGGATCAAAAGGAAATAAGGAAGGAGAATTTAATACTGTTATCTCTATTGCAGTGCTTAGCAACGGTCGCATACCAGTAGTTGTTTCTGACTATTTGACCCATTGCATTCACATATCTGAGTAGACAACATCACTTTGACAAACCATATTTGAAACTAATTCATCAAACGTTCATGCATGTAACTGCTGTTGGCTAGTGATTTTTATCATCCTCAAGAATCTTCTCACTTGTCATCGAAACTTCGACAAAACCTTCAACCTGCGAAGTTGCAAATTTCAGAGAATCTCTATCAACTTTAGTGTAGTTTTTAAATTCATCTCGTTTATAATCTTTGTTTGATCAATCATTGAACATATTTCAATATTTTCCTTTGATATCATGTTAATAACGATGTAAAACTACAAATTAAAAATGCTGCTATAAATTCTTAGTATAATCATGTTTAGAAATGAAACAACATTTCACTCAAATGTACTCAAATGTTGTAGGAGGGCCACAAGTGTATCAGCATTGTAACTGTTTCGTGCCACCCTTGATAAATAAAGTTGGGATGATTGATTGATTGAAACAACAAGTAATGCTACATCAGAGGTAAGGAGTTTGTTACAGCCATTACTCCTCCTTAAGCTATTTTTAACTTTGTAAATTTGGAAACTTATCACTGAGGTAGGAACTTACTACTGGGTTTAATGAGAAGAGTGAATGGACTTAACGGTGGCTGGTAAGAACAAAACAGAGTCACAAAAACTACAACACAAACACAAACTTGTAGAGTTTTGTGTTAGTGTTGAGTGGATTTTGTGATTCTGTTTTAAGTTTGTGTTTGTGTTGTAGGTTTTGTGACTTTGTTTTATTCTTACTGGCCACTGTAATGGACAGTTAACTGACAATAGCAGTAATTGAATAATTGACCACATCATTCCAATTTTTAAACTTTTAAAAGTTAGAAGTGTGTTAATAAATGTTGTTACAATGGTTCAAAGACTTTGCTGTACAGAAAGTGTTTGATGAACTAGAAAAAAACGAGAGTGTAAAAAGACTTATTCATTCTAAGTGGATGTCTAACCATTGTTTTTATGGTATGAGGATGTGCAGATTTTGTATTAGAATATATAGAAAAATAATAACATGCTAGGCGAAAGTAGTGTTTTACACTTGCTAGAAACAACTAATTGAAAATTCTTACAGTGCAGCACTAAAATTTCATGATGCATCATGCCCCTACTTCAAAATCTGATTGATAAAATGTTTAGGTAAAGTTTGAATGTGCACTTTCAAGTGCTAAGTTGTGAGACTGCATGAATTTTGAGACAGAATAACAGAAGAAACCCATGCTCTATTCCTTTTTAACCCTTTACACCTTAGCATCAGTATGCATATTTTCCTAAGGCGCTGAGAAGAAGAATTTGTTTGCCGATCTAAGGGTTCTTCTCATGGTGATCATTCACTTTATTCTCATGACCTTAATGTGTGATTAAGGGCTGATATTTTAGGGAGAAATAAGAAGCTGGTCAATCTTAGGTTTTAAAGGGTTAAGTGAATCCATCATTCTTATTTTCATCAAGTGCCCTAAACAACCACCAGCTGAGTCCTCCTATTGATTGATGGTGGATGAAGGACGGTGTGATTTGTAGTGATGCTCAGTTGTTATTTATCAAATTGAACACTGTGATATGACAGTGATCTAAATCTTACAGAGTGTGTTGTTTGTTTTGTTTAGGCTCCCATGGGCAGAGTTACATAATTGATCGCGTTGTTGTGGTTTTACTGTGCAATGAAACTTTGTGCAAAAGTTGTCGACTTGCTATCCTTGTCAGAGTAAATATTTACCAATGTTTTAAGTTTTGACAATCTATTCTTTTATGTCTGCTCTGTAATAAGTAACTGGAATTTTTCTTTTTAATTCCACACTTCAATTGGGTGGATAGCTCAGTATGTTTCGCTATCACTGATCTGCTAGATAGGGATTTATTTGTAGGATAGCCTCTTACAGTGTATGCCCTCTATGCAACTGGGGCCTGTTCTGTGAGACTATGACACTCAGCTCTATTGAAATGTTGTAACTTAATTTCACTGTGGTGTTGGATCACAATGTCTTCCATTGACCCATAGGACTTAAAACATAGTTGGATACAACCAAAACATCCTAAAATTAATCTTAAAAAGCATGGCAGAATCAGCTACCAAAAGCCGAGGTTTGACTTTGTTTGAAATAGTAAAATGCATCAGTTACTAATGACACTTCTCTCTTGTTTTGAGAGACACTCTCACCTAATGCACAGGAATACTTGCCTGTAAAACTGATATGATATCATTTACAATTTTCTCACTGACCAAAAGATGATAAATTGTCACAATGTGCTAATAAATTCTTTTCCCTCAAACAGGTGGTGCTGATTAATGCCAATGCTCTGCTTGACACATTGGAAAATTACCTCAGAAAACATGGGCAAATGTACATAGATGATCTTTCTAACATCTGTTGATTTATTTCTACTGAGTTCCTCAATGTCCACTGCCCTGAACCCTTTCACTCCAAGATGAAAAGATCAATTCTCTGCTCTCTGCATACATTTATTACAAGTTTGGCTTTGATAATTTTTTGTCAATTAAAACGATATACCCAAGTTTATTTCCTCCTTTCTTTTTCATCACCTTTTTATTTGAATGTGTGTTAATATTGTAAGGAGAAATTTCTTTTTGGTTAAACTAGGTAGTACAAGTACATGTGCATGTTTTATTTTACCATGTAACTCCTATAACTGACATATTATATGTATATAGTATGGTAATGCTGTTCTGCTTACAACCAGGTGACACATGTGCAGTGTTCAGACAAAAGCTGTTCACTTGAAGTTCATCATGATTACTTAGCTCAGTGTAACTTATTTGTTGTTGTTGTAGATTTTGTACTGAATGTAAATCAAAAGTTTTGAGGGCATACAGTATTCTGGTAGGAGATTTGGATGGACCAAGTGAAAAGGGGTAGGTATGAAGTTATTTAAAGACAACAATATACCTGGTGAGAGTGCTTAATTTCCCAAGCTGTGAGCTCAGTTTTATTGTAGACTTGTTGTGACAGAAGTTTGGATGGTTTTTTGGCCATGCTAGGGGGTTTTCTCTTGGATTCTCAGGTTTCCTTTCTTGACAAACCAGCCTGTGGTGCAGGTGTCTTAATAGGGGTCAACATTACAAGCTTGCGATCCTTTATTCCACTGCTCATGTTTGGTTTCCATGTAGCACTAGAATGGATGGAAAGGGGCCTCTCCTTTCTTTTGACTGTTGCTTACCCCCTTGGTACAATTGCTTTTCTCTCCCCAGCTTTTCCATTGCTGTAAAAATCAAAGATGGCAGCTTAATTTTCACTAAGAAAATACCGAGTACTCACCTACACCTACACCTACACCTACACCTACACCTACACCTACACCTGCTCTGCTGGCTATCGAAAACCTGATAAGCAGATTGATCTGTTCTGTCCTTTTTTGAACTGTCTCATAGATTAACAAGCAATGTTTCTTTCCTGACTCATTTAGTTGCTTTGCTACTTTGTATGATGGTCCTAAAAGTTGTCCTCAAGAGCGCCATGTCCATGTACTGTGTGATACAGGCTACATTGCACATTTAATCGGACGGGCAGAACCAGAGCTGGCTGAAGGGTATGCAATACTTGTATCCTGTTGTGGCTCATGTTGAGGCTTTTCAAAAGCATAACCATTATTTTTCATGTGGTTATGGCCATCTCCTTTTTCCTTTTCATTTAACTTGGTTTTATAAAAAAAGAAATAAGGTTGATCAGTAAAAACGAAAAGCTTTTCACTCACGGGAGCTTTAAGGAGCTCTGTCATGATAGGTTGTTTCTTGTGGTGCGATATTGCTGTTGGGTGAAAGAGTGTAAGAGTGCTATCCCATCCCCTGTGTGCCTTGGTGAGAAGAAGTGGTAATTTATCATAATCAAAAGCTAGGGATGCTTTAAAATGCCTGTAAGGCATCAGTGGAGAAGCTCCGCCAACCCCTCTCTATAGAGAGAACCTTGCTTAAAGCACTACTTCTTTTAGATTCGTTCCTGAATTTTTTCTTAACTCTTTACATCCTAACATCAGCATGTATATTCTCCATACTGTTCTTGATACATTTCCTATGGCTCTGACAAGGAGATTTAAGTTAAAACTCAAGAGCTGTTCAAGTTGATGAGCATTTACTCCATTTTTCTTGAGCTTAATGTTTGGTTTAGCAGTGATGCCTTAGTGAGAAATTAGATGCTAGTCACCCTTAGAGGTTAAAGGGTTAAGAGTGTGGCGTACCGCTAAAGTAGATTCAAAACACGTTATTAACAGAGTACTGGCTTCGATTCATAAGCTTGTCTTTTATGTGTTGTGATAGGAGGAGAGAAAGGCATGCTAAGACACTGGACATTGCCCAGGAAGAGGTGGGAAAATTTTCGATTTAAGTTTGTTAGAACTTCTAGGTGGTGTCAATCGGTTGCTTTATGTTGGAGGATGTTCTTTCCACTTACCAATATCGTTATATTCCCTAAAACTACTTTTCCGCAACAAGGTTAGCTGGTGGTTAGTATCGGTGAGGCTTCTTTCCGTACTAAATTAAACCATCTTGTTTTCGGTCCATCTTGAAGGTGTTAACGTGTCTCGGTATTCACCTGTGGGAAAGACTTCATCGACTGTGGCAGAAACTGAGGGCTGAGGAGCAAACGTGGCAGATGCTGTTTTATCTGGGGGTGGAAGCTCTAAGGAAAAGTTTTGAGGCAAGATAAGAGGCGCTTTCATTTTATTTGACTTTCTATTCATTATTTGCTGAGGAATAGTTGGATTGACAAGAGTTTGAATAGAACGATTGATTGAATAAACAAGAACCGAATTCCTTAGCTTCACGGAACGATCAACGGAAGCTCTAACTGTTAACCCAATCAAACCAAAATCATATGAAGGTATGCAAAAAAGAAAACAAACAAACAAAAAACAGAAATGAACAAACGAAGGAACAAACGATCCACAGTAGTTACGGAGTGAAATAAAAGAACGAGCGAACAAACTACATGATCAAACGAAGAAAAAAAAGCCAGGTTATTTTACCTGTTGGTTATCTTTACGTAACTTGACTATAGTTCCAGCAACAAGTAATGTTGGTTGGCGATGTTTTGCGTTTCTTTTTACATGGGTGTCGTTTCGACTTTGTCAGGTGGCGGTTGAAGAAAAGCAAGGCATTATCACGCCTGGAACAAGTCGTCGAAGAGATTTCTGAGGCAGAGAGAGCCAAGGAACTCAGAAGAGAGCAGAAACGATTGAAAAAGAAAGCGAGACGCAAAGAGAAATGTAAATGTGGTACTCACTTAACTATCTCGACAGCGAACAATGAACTGCAAGCAGAGGAAACTGCGAAAAACGAGGAGGAATTGGAAGAGGAAGAGGTATGTACGAATGAGATCGTGGAAGAGACAAGGGAAATGAATGGACATGGCGATAGCTGTGAAGATGATGAAGATGACGGAGACAGTGGCGGTTCACCGTGCAGTTGTGAAGACTTGAGCAACTGTGAGCGAAGCAAGAGCAAAAAATCGGTTTTTAGGAATGGTGACTGCGGGTACGTATCTTTTCCAGGTTACCAGACCCAGTTGCTCAAAGGGTGGCAAACGCTATATAAAGGATAAATTGCTATCTAGCGGATAAGTGTGAAGTAAAGGTGCAGGGCTATCCAATGGACAGATATTTATTTAGTGGAAAGTGTTATCCAACCTTCAAACAACCGGGGCCAGATTGTTAGCATCGAAAACACTTTATTGTAGCTTGTTACGGAGAAAGTTGATAAAGTACTTCAGAGTTAATCCGACGCTAAAATTGCTAGTTGCCTTTCCTGGTTGATCTTTTCGCCTTAAAATAAGTATGTAGAAGGTGAGTAGGTGTATATTGTCCATACTTTTCGCTTTACGTTTCCTAAGGAAATGACGAGGAGAATATTTGAAACAATCGGGAGCTTCTCATTTCCTTTGTTCTCATGACTTTAATGCTTGATTCATGGATGATGCTGATAAATTAGAGTCTAGACGCAGTATTGGTTTAAAGGTTGAAAAGCATTTGTGCTGTAATCCCAGCTATTTTCCTTTCATTTATTGACTTGAAGTGATCTGTTGTAGGTACGTAGCAGAGTACAATAAATGGTCCAGGATGGTACACCAGAGTGGAGACATGTGTAATCATGGCGAAGATTCTTCGACGCTAGGAGGAGAGGAAGAGGATATATGTACAGATTGTTTGAGTGGGAGCCCAATTAGTGGTGGATCTCCACAGAGCAATAATGGAAAGGGAAGAAAGAAGAAGGGCAAAAACAAGGAGAAGAAGGTAAACATATAAGCCTCCTATCCACACCCCTTCACGATGCTTGATTAGTTATCTCTTTTCACTCCCATGAGCGACCAAGAGAGAATTTCTCCTAACAATATCAATACAATCTCCATCAGACAAGTAGTGAGAATAAAGAAAAATATCATTTAGGGGATTATAAGTTGATCCAATATCAAATTCTCTAAACTAACATCGCAAGAACTGTATGGCAGACAGTTAGGAGAATTACAAATGAGATCTTGGGAGTTAAAGGGTTATTGTGCGGTAGTTTCAATCGTCATGCAATGTTGTTACTCTTACCAAGGCGGTCACACTTTTTTGCCGTGTGAAGCTTGCGTGACTAAAGGAAAGATGCCAAATGTAAAAATGTAATTTTTTCCTTCAAATCGTTACTTTGTTCTTCCTTCACATTATTCATTCATTCATTCATTCATTCATTCATTCATTCATTCATTCATTCATTCATTCATTCATTCATTCATTCTTCATTCATTCATTCATTTTTCATTCTTCTTTTAGTTCTAAATCTCTATTTAGCAAAACTCGCCGAGACATGAAAAGCAAGAAAAGCTTGTAGAAAATATTGATGACGAAGAAAAACGGCTCCTGAAGCTAATGGGTTGGAAGGATGGAGGAACAGAGTCAATGGTGAGTTATTTTTTTAACTATACTTCCGTCGCTCTATGGCGATTTAGGTTTTCCTGGGATCCGATAACCCCAAGGGTAGAATATCCCCTGATCTCAAACTTCCTGTTGCGTCACGATTTGTGCTTCTTGAAAAAAGAAAGCTTAAGTTTAGATAGTCTTTTTAATTTTTATGTACAGTCAACACTTAAATCTTCTCCATCCTTAGCTATCTTTACTTCATCCTAGTTTATCTTTAACTTATCTTCGTTTGTCTTTATTATCGTGTTAGTATTTTTCACGTATTCTCCGTCACGTTGTGCACCACTGAGCCAGTTGCGACTGGTCACGCGATCATAAATTAATGCGAGAGGTTACGTCACACAAATGTATATCGGGATCGTGAACAACAGGACGCTTTTCTCTCCTCAGATTGGTATACTATCGATTAACCTTTGTCGTCTTTTATCTTCATTTTACATCATAGGAGTGTTTTTCGTCGGAGGAAGATCTCTGTATATCCGAGCAGGAAATTCTACGGTTCAAAGCGAACCAATCGTCAGTGTCCCAGCAGCGACGGAAGCTTCGAGAGAAACTTCGCCAACAATTTAACAATTTGACGCTTAAGAAGGGTCTTAACGTCGCTATTGTTCATTAGGCCTTGTTAAAAATGCACTCACAACAGGAGAGATGAGATGGGCGATAGGAAATGGGCAGCGGATAGTGGGGATGGGTAGGAAAGTGACTGTACTAGAGAGACAACTTCCCTGCCCCGATCCATGTTGGTAGAAAGTAGTCACGGGTTTCTGTAGTTACGGTGGAAAGATTGTGTATGCGTGTGTGTGATGTTGTTTATTGTATGCAAGTGAAGTCCGCAAGGTGTGCAGCGATGTAGCAATGTTAATAATGTTCTCCTTTGTTTTAATTCTTTATTTTAATTTTACTCCCTGATTACACTGTAAATCAGGATGAGTTTATCTGAAAACGGAAATAAATCTCTTGAAGCAGATACTGTCAGATATCCAGGCTGAATCTTTACTCGACTTATAAAGTCTTTGTTTTCAGTCGTTTTCACCAGAAGCAAAGTTTATTCACTTGTCTTGGGAATTTCCCCCGCTATGGACTTCCGAGTGTCATTGTAGAAATACCAAATAGTAATTTGTGTTTGCGGCAAAACGAAAAATGAATTTCAAAGACTGTACCTTTTAATGGGAACTCCTCTTTTGCTTGCTCTTACCTGTCCTTTGAAACTTATTGCTATACTTTGCCCCTTGCTCGAACTCATGGTAGGGCGAAAGTGTCTGCCGAGATGTTTGATGGGATATTTCTTCCAGAACCTGGTGAACATCTTTTTAATTCAGGATTTTATGCCAGTGTAATGAACAATTTCAATTAAAAGTGAGGAATGTTAGAGATTTTAACAAGACAATTTGAATTTTTGCTTATCTGCCCTTCGTCAATCTGCTTCTATGTGTTAAACGGATAGGGCCTGATGCCCGAAAGTGGTAGATCTTGGCTCGGTTTTACTTTATACCCATACCTTTAGTAACAAGTAAAGTTCTTATTGAGGCCAAGAGTTTAATAACCAATCACCAAATCAAAATGAGTCATGAAGCAATCAACTGTTTCTAACCTCCTCATCTGACGTGTGTGGGTTGGTCACGGAGAGCTTCCTTGGGAAGGTGTCGACTTCACCCGGGGAGGCATCAGGAAAATTTTATTGTGACACGAACAACATCCTTCAGAAGTTAGAGTACTTTTCCCTGGCGTATTCAAGAGATTTTCAGTTTCCTCCGTTTCAAACTTAAAATGCTACCTTCAAATCAGGATATATATTATTATTGATATATTTCATTGGAATCTATATGTTAATAGATCAAGGTAAATAAGTCCTTCTCATTTTGTCTTATATTTAAACTTTACGGAAATGAAAGCAAACTAGAGTCTAACACAAATTTCTCTCCCTATAAACAAGTACGGGTAACGGTCTCTTTTTATGGCCGGTTCAAATAATTGCATTCTACGCGCATTTTTTAGAAATACAGATCTGACTCGATACCAAATGGCAATTTTCTTTAGAATAACGCTCTTTTCAAACACGCTCTGTGAAAGTCAGCGATTGGTCGATGCCATCTCATGGTCAGCCACTCCTCCGAAAACTGTCCATCATCTGATTAAAAACATGTCTGTCTACAACTGCATAATAAGCCTTTGAATGTGTGAGGTCAACGTAAATTTATACGATTCTCAGAAATGTTGCATATGGAATATGCCAAAGACAACTCTCATGTAATTGGTCAATATTAATAGCATTTCTATCGCATGACTACTTTGTAATTTGTTTTACGCGTGTTTGATACATGAAGCGAAAGCCTTATCAAGCCTTTAATCATGGATATCAAAACGTTGCTCGCCAATCTTCATGAAGAAGTATCCTGCTCTGTGTGTATGGTCACATTTACTGAGCCAAAACAGCTTCCATGTTTGCACAGCTTTTGCCTCCACTGTTTAGCAGGAATCCAAAGAAACAGCGGCCGCCATGATGTTATAACATGTCCTGAGTGTCGAAGGGAGAGTCAAGTCCCTGGAGGAAATTTAAAGATCTGCCCACAAACTTTCGCATCAACAGCTTACTAGATGTGTTGGCCATAAGGGACTGCGGTTCTACTGGAGTCAAATGCGGAAACTGCGACAAACGAAGAGTAGAAAGTTTCTACTGTTTTCAGTGCTGCGCGTTCTGGTGTGACGAGTGTATCACTGGCCACAACATTATCCGAGCAAATAAAGAACACCGAGCTCTTGCACTGAACGATTTTGAAGATCAAGACATCGAGGATGTCTTAAAACGACCAGCATTTTGCCCACGACCGGGCCACGAAAAGAAAGAATTGGAATTCTTCTGTAAGAAATGTGAACAAGCCATTTGCAATTCTTGTGTTGTAACCAATCACGATGGACATGTTAAGATACTACTGGAAGAAGCGGCAAATGAAAAGAAATTGCAAGTCATGTCTGATATTGAGTCCAGAAAAGCAAAAGTGCAAAGAATGAGAAACAAAATATCTAAACTTGACGAAACCTGTGATAAAATCCAAACCCAAGTCACAAAAGTAAAAAGAAGCGCGCAACAGTTTGCCGTAAGCATGATTGCTGTCATCGAAGCCAAGAAACAGGAAATCTTTTCTGAAGCGGATCATGAGGCACAACAGTACCTGGAACGTTTGCGAATACAAAGGATCGAGATTGAAAACAAAGTAGAAATGGTCGAAACAGCTCTAGGAAAATCTGAAACACTATTACAACGGAGCACAAACGCAGAGCTTGCACAGTTCGATGACTCACAAAACACAACACTCTTGAAAGGAATTGATGATGAGAGAGAAGAAGTCGACTGCAACCTTGAACATTTAACATTTATTTTCGAGGAAAACAAAGCTTTGAAGACAAAAGCAATCCACGAGGGAATCGGCTCCATTAGAGCGTTTCTCAGCCAGACCAGAGCGGATCAAGCAACTGCTGAAGGAGAAGGACTCACTGAGGCGATCGTTGGAATTCAAGCGAAATTTGTTTTGACGACAAGAAATGCTGAAGGACGACAATGCCACGACGAGCGTAACCGAGTAACAGTGGAAATTAAAAATCAGCAAGGCCTTGACTGTGCGACGGAAGTGCGAGTCCAAGATATTAAAGATGGTAGCTATAAAGTGGGTTATTTTTCCAAAGAAACTGGAAGATGTAAGGCAGAAGTTAAACTAAACGAAGAACATGTTGCAGGCAGTCCATTTCCGGTTCGAGTGAAACCCAGAAAATTCAGACTCCTGCTATCTTTTGGACAACGAAGTTCGTCTGCTGGAGTGTTAAACCTACCCTGGGGAGTGGCAGTGAATGAACGCGATGAAATTGTAGGGACTGAACTCGGTAACAGCAGGGTTCAAGTATTCAGTAGTGATGGAACTTACTTACGGTCGTTTGGTAGACAAGGTAATAAACAGGGAGAATTTAATGGCCCATGCGGAATAACAATACATGAGACTAATAACATTATAGTCGTGGACAGAGGTAACCACCGTGTTCAATTGTTCAGTGAGCAGGGTGAGTACCTGAGCCAGTTTGGTGGTGAGGGAAATCTTGATCACCAGCTGTCTAATCCTCTCGGTGTATCTGTAGATACTAAAGGCAATATTATTGTTGCTGATAGCGGTAACAAATCAATTAAGATCTTTTCTCCTGACGGCCATTATTTAAGTAAATTCGGGGGTGAGGGTTCTTTTACCTATCCCTTTCACTGCATACAATATGACAAATATCTGATAGTGTCAGACAGAGATGAACATTGTATCAAAGTGTTTGATAGAAATGGTTATTTTTTATACAAATTTGGAAATAAGGGGGAAGGGGATGGAGAGTTCAATAAGCCTTGTTATTTATCAGTTAACAAGGCAGGACACCTGATGGTCTGTGATACATGGAATTACAGAGTACAAGTATTTGAGCTAAGTGGAAAATTTGTAACAAAATTTAAATCAAAAGGAGAGAAAAAAGGAGAATTTAATTTCCCTGTCTCTACTGCAGTGCTCAGTGATGGTCGAATAGTTGTATCTGACTGTTGGAACCATCGCATTCAGATATTTGAATAGACATAACATCCTTATGCCTTACCAGATTTGAGCTCATATTTTCAAACTTTTAAACATTAAACTGCTTTCAACACGTGATTTATATTCTCTGTAAGAATCTTCTGAATGGTCAATGAAACTACAACGCTATAGTTTCAATTAATGCTACATCCAAGATAAATATCTTGTTACACCTATTTTATATGATATTGTTAATTAAGTAATTACAGAATTTACTACTATTGTCATAAAACAGATCATCTCCTCCACTGGTTTAACTCACAAAAAGGCTCCAAACTCAAAAATTGTAAATAATCAAACAGTAGAAATGTGTCATTAAAGTATTTATGATTGCATTTGCAAACTTTGCTGTATAGTAATCACTTGGCAAAAACAAAAAGGAGTGATTTGAAACTTTCCGACCGATTTTAGTCCAATATATCTGGGAAGGTTACAATTATACCTCATTTATTATGAAAGAAAGCTAAGATGAGAAAAACCTTAAAAATGTTTTAGGATTTGGGGTAGTTTCCGCCGTTCTGTCTTTTAGGATTTCGGGTAATTTTTCCGCCGCTTCGTCTCTAAGGACTTGGGGTAATTTTCCGCCGTTCGGTGTTAAGGATTTTGCGAAGTTCACTGCCATTCCACCATTCTGTCATTCCACCGTTCCGGTGTCCTAGCGGATTTAGACTTCCCGGTCCAAATCCGCTAGGGGATATGAACCCCCCTCCGCAGATTTGGACCCCCCCAACAGAACCGAGTGAAAACATCATCCTTAACGTTCTCGTAGAAATAGATAATACTTTCCGTTTCAGTGCGTACTGAAGTATGTTTTTAATTCAAAATATGCGTATCGCCGATGCATACGAACTGGCAGCTAGAATTGAACCGTCGGATTTTTCTTTTGACCAAGGGAAAATGTGCAAGCATTTTGTTCAATGTTCGGAGAAAGGTCGTTTTTGAACCTTTTCCGCGATAGTCGAACACCGCTAGATTAAGTAAGATACAAACTTATGACACTTATTTATTTTGTTATTGTTCAATGCCCAAGTGTTGAGACGACATGGTACACTGCAAGTTTGTTATTTCAGATCCCACAACAGTTAATAATCGTTAAAATTAGAAAATAAGATTGAGTTCGATGAAATAGTCTCCACTTTTGTTAAGGCGTAGACATTAATGTTGATTTGCATCTGAAAATAAGCTGAGAGTTCCAATAGCTCAGAATAGAAACATTTTTTCTTATAATAGGCTTTACGAACGACTTGTAGTAGGAGTTGTTACTTCGTTCTTGTTCAGAAACTGTTTAATGTTATTTAATTAGAAAATCAGACTGAGTTATTTTTGTGACTGGACGCAACAGTCACCACTATTATTATGAAGTTTCGTATCAATGTTGATTCGCATCAGAAGAAGCAAAGATTTATTGTTACAATTTCAATCGTTCTGTGACACCGGCTTTAAGGGTGCCCTTTCCGGTGAGATGTCTAAAAAGCACCTCGTGGAAGGTAGCGACCGATCAAATAACGTATTTGCTTCAATCTCATCTGAAATTTCCACATAAATCGGAAATGTCTCGTAATTGCGGAAGTCCTGGGTGAATTTCAGGGAACGCTGTTCGATCAGCTTTAGACACCAGTTGTTTGTTTGCTTGATATGGAGGGCGCCCTCTAGGTTTTTTCACACAAGAGCAGTCTTGTTCACGATGAGATGTCCACATAATGGGTTGTTTGAAGTTGAAATAATTTTTTGTCGAACTGAATTTTCTCGGACTTGATAAAGTATTCTTTTCCTTACCGAGAGGACCCATTTGGGAGAAATTTATTCAAAACCCTGGTCGATATCATTTTGAATTGAACGGAAAGCTCATTTTTGAATAAGTTTTTGTCAGACTGTCTTACTTGAAAGTCCTTTGTCATGAAGTCGATAGACTTTTCTCAAGAAGGAGATATGATCATCCATAAGCTGAGACAAAAAACAAAATAACCTTTAGGAATACTGAGAAAATGACTAGCTGGTAAACGCCATGACGTCATGACACCGAAGGACAACATGCGACAACAAGAACAGCCGTGCACGTGAATACGTTTCTCGGCCAAAACAAAGCGGATCAATTAACTGCTGAAGGAAAAGGACGCACTGAAGCGATTGTTGGAACTCAAGCGAACTTTGTTTTCACATAAAGAAATGCTGAAGGGCAATGCCACGAGAAGCGTGACCGAATAACAGTGAAAATTAAAAATCGGCAGGGCCATGACTGTGCGACGGAAGTGAGAGTTCAGGGTAATAAAGATGGCAGCTACAAGATCAGCTATTTCCTCAAAGATAGCGAAAGATAAGAGGCAGTAGTCAAAGTGAGCGAAGAACAAGCTCGAGGCAGTCCCTTTCCGACTCTAGTTAAACCCAGACAGTTCTGTCCTGTGTTATCTTTTGGCCAACGAGGCTCGTCTGCTTGAATGTTAAACAAACCCTGGGGTGCGGCAGTGAATGAACGCGATGAAATCGCAGAGACTGAAACTGGTAACCACAGGGTTCAGGTATTCAGTTGAAACGGCGATAAACAGGAAAAACTTACTCGTCCCAGAGAAGAAGCATTTGATAAGAATAATAACATTATAGTGGTGGATACTCTTAACAGCCTTGTTTAACTGTTCAGTGAGTAGGGTGAGTACCTGAGCCAGTTTGGTGGTAAAGGAAATCTTGATCACCAGCTGGATTATCCTCATGGTTTATCTGTAGATAATAAAGGCAATATTATTGTTGCTGATAGGTATAACAAATCGATTAAGATCTTTTCTCCTGATGGTCATTACTTAAATTATGTAAATTCAGGGATGAGGGTTCTTTTACCTTCCCTTCTCACTACTCACAGTATGACAAATATCTGATAGTGTCAGATGCAAACGAACATTGTATCAAAGTGTTTGCTGGAAATGGTAATATTCTATACAAATTTGGAAATAAGGGGGAGGGGGATGGGGAGTTCATTAACCTTCGTCATTTGTCAGTTAACAAGGTAGGACACCTGATGGTTTATGAGACTTCAAACCACAGAGTTCTGGTATTTGAGCTGAGTGGAAAAATTTTAACAAAATCTGGATCAAAAGGAAATTCTAATAATAGTCATAATGCATCATGTCCCTACTTCAAAAACTGATTGATAGCTTGTTTAGTTAAAGTTTGAATGTGTACTTTCAAGCACTAAGTCACGAGACTGCATGAACTTTGAGACATAACAACGGAAGAACCCATGCTTTATTCCTTTTAAACCCTTTACACCTTAGCATCAGTATGCATATTCTCCACACTGTTCTTTATACATTTCCTAGGGCGCTGACAAGGAGAATTTGTTTGCTGATCTAAAGATTCTTTTCATGGTGATCATTCACTTTATTCTCATGACCTTAATGTGTGATTAAGGGCTGATATTGTAGGGAGAAATAAGAAGCTGGTCAATCTTAGGGTTTAAAGGGTTAAGTGGATCCATCATTCTTATTTTCATCAAGTGCCCTAAACAACCACCAGCTGAGTCCTCCTATTGATTGATGGTGGATGAAGGACTGTGGAATTTGCAGTGATGCTCAGTTGTTATTTATCAAATCCAACACTGAAATGACAGTGATCTAAATATTACAGAGTGTGTTGTTTGTTTTGTTTAGGCTCCTGTGGGCAGAGTTACATGATTGATCAAGTTGTTGTGGTTATGCTGTTCAATGAACCTTTGTGCAAAGTCATAGACGCTTGGCATCCTTGTCAGAGTAAAAATTTACCTAGTATGTTTTAAGTTTTGACAATCTATTCTTTTACGTCTGCTCTCCAATAAGTAACTGGAATTTTTCTTTTTAATTCCACACTTCAATTGGGTGGATAGCTCAGTATGTTTTGCTATCACTGATCTGCTAGATAGGGATTTATTAATTTTGTAGAATAGCCTCATACAGTGTATGCCCTCTATGCAACTGGGGCCTGTTCTATAAGACTATGACACTCAGCTCTATTGAAATGTTGTAACGTAATTTCACTGTGACATTGGATCACAATGTCCTCCATTGACCCATAGGACTTGCAACAAAGTGGGATACAACCAAAACATCCTACAATTAATCTTAAAAAGTGTGGCCAAATCAGCTACTAGAAGCCAAGGTTTGACCTTTTTTGAAATAGTAATAGAGATCAGTTACTAATGACACTTCTCTCTTGTTTTGAGAGACACTCTCAGCTAATGCACAGGAATGCTTGACTGTAAAACTGATATGATATCATTTACAATTTTCCCACTGACCAAAAGATGATAAAAAGGCATTTAACTGTCGCAATGTACTAACAAATTCTTTCCCTCAAACAGGTGATGCTGATTGACTCTGATGCTCTGCTTGACACATTGGAAAATTACCTCAGAAAACATGGGTAAATGTACATAGATGATCTTTCTAACATCTGTTGATTTTTTCTACTGAGTTCCTTAATGTCCAAGTGCCCTGAACCCTTTCACTCCAAGATGAAAAGATCAATTCTCTGCTTTGTACTTCATACCTTTATCACAAGTTTGGCTTTGATAATTTTTTGTCAATTAAAACAATATACCCAAGTTTATGTCCTCCTTTCTTTCTCATCACCTTTTTATTTGAATTTGTGTTAATATTGTAGGGAGAAATTTCTTTTTGGTCACACTAGGGAGTACATGTACATGTGCATGTTTTATTTTACCATGTAACTCCTATAACTGACATATTATATGTGTATAGTATGGTAATGCTGTTCTGCTTTCAACCAGGAGACACATGTGCACTGTTCAGACAAAAGCTGTTCACTTGAAGTTCATCATGATTACTTAGCTCAGTGTAACTTATTTGTTGTTGTTGTTGTTGTAAATTTTGTACTGAATGTAAATCAAAAGTTTTGAGGGCATACAGTATTCTGGTAGGAGATTTGGATGGGCCAAGTGAAAAGGGGTAGGTATGAAGTGATGTAAAGGCAACAATGTACCTGGTGAGGGTGCTTAATTTCCTTAGCTGTGAGCTCAGTTTGATTTTAGACCTGTTTTGTTAGAAGTTTGGATGGTTTTTTGGCCTTGCTAAGGGATTTTCTCCAGGATTCTCAGGTTTCCTTTCTTGACAAACCTGTGGTGCAGGTGTCTTAATAGGGGTCAATATTACAAGCTTGTGATCGTTTATTCCACTGCTCGTGTTTGGTTTACATGTAGCACTACAATGGACAGAAGGGGGGCCTCTCCTTTCTTTTGACTGTTGCTCACCCCCTTGGCACAATTTTTTTTCTCTCCCCAGCCTTTCCACTGCTGTAAAAGTCAAAGACAGCAGCTTAATTTTCATGAAGAAAATACAGAGTACTCACTTGCCAAAACTACACCTGCTCTGCAGGCTATTGAAAACCTGATAAGCAGATTTATCTGTTCTGTCCTTTTTCGAACTGTCTCATAGATTAACAAGCAATGTTTCTTTCCTGACTCATTTAGTTACTGTGCCACTTTGTATGATGGTCTTAAAAGCTGTCCTCAAGACCGGCATGTCCATGAACTGTGTGATACAGACTACATTGCGCATTTAATTGGACGGGCAGAACCAGAGCTGGCTGGAGGGTGTGCAATACTTGTATCCTGTTGTAGCTCATGATAGGGCTTTTCAAAGGCATCATTATTTTTCATGTGGTTCTGGCCACCTACTTTTTGCTTTTCATTTAACTTGGTTTTATGCAAGAAATGAGGGTGATTAGTAGAGATGAAAAGCTTTTCACTCACGGGAGCTTTAAGGAGCTCTGTCATGATAGGTTGTTTCTTATGGTGCGATATTGCTGTTGGGTGAAAGAGTGTAAGAGTGCTATCCCATCCCCCGTGTACCTTGGTGAGAAGAAGTAGTAATTTATCATAATCAAAAGCTAGGGATGCTTAAAAATGCCTGTAAGGCATCAGTGGAGAAGCTCCGCCAACCCCTCTTTATAGAGAGAACTTTGCTTAAAGCACTACTTCTTTTAGATTCGTTCCTGAATTTTTTCTTAACCCTTTACATCCTAACATCAGCGTGTATATTCTCCATACTGTTCTTGATACATTTCCTATGGCTCTGACAAGGAGATTTAAGTTAAAACTCAAGAGCTGTTCAAGTTGATGAGCATTTACTCCATTTTTCTTGAGCTTAATGTTTGGTTTAGCAGTGATGCCTTAGTGAGAAATTAGATGCTAGTCACCCTCAGAGGTTAAAGGGTTAAGAGTGTGGCGTACCGCTAAAGTAGATTCAAAACACTTTGTTAACAGAGTACTGGCTTCGATTCATAAGCTTGTCTTTTATGTGTTGTGATAGGAGGAGAGAAAGGCATGCTAAGACACTGGACATTGCCCAGGAAGAGGTGGGAAAATTTTCGATTTAAGTTTGTTAGAACTTCTAGGTGGTGTCAATCGGTTGCTTCATGTTGGATGATGTTCTTTCCACTTACCAATATCGTTATATTCCCTAAAACTACTTTTCCGCAACAAGGTTAGCTGGTGGTTAGTATCGGTGAGGCTTCTTTCCGTACTAAATTAAACCATCTTGTTTTCGGTCCATCTTGAAGGTGTTAACGTGTCTCGGTATTCACCTGTGGGAAAGACTTCATCGACTGTGGCAGAAACTGAGGGCTGAGGAGCAAACGTGGCAGATGCTGTTTTATCTGGGAGTGGAAGCTCTAAGGAAAAGTTTTGAGGCAAGATAAGAGGCGCTTTCATTTTATTTGTTGACTTTCTATTCATTATTTGCTGAGGAATAGTTGGATTGACCAGAGTTTGAATAGAACGATTGATTGAATAAACAAGAACCGAATTCCTTAGCTTCACGGAACGATCAACGGAAGCTCTAACTGCTAACCCAATCAAACCAAAATCATACGAAGGTACGCAAAAAAGAAAACAAACAAACAGAAATGAACAAACGAAGGAACAAACGATCCACAGTAGTTACGGAGTGAAATAAAGAACGAGCGAACAAACTACATGATCAAACGAA